CCCCTCCCTCCACTGTCCAAAAGGGGGGGGGCTTGGTTCCCCCCTCCCGCCCCCTTGGACTTCCCCTGCAGGAGAACCCCCCCCCCCCTGTTTTTTTCCGCCCCTCACTACACTCTCCTTTCGCGCTCCAGAAGTTACCCCCCCTCCCTCCCTTCTCCAAAGGGGGAGGAGCTTAGCACCCCCCCCCCCTCGGTTTTGAACCTCCCCTGCCCGCCGGCCCCCTTCCCTCTTTGGCTAAAGGAAGGAGCACCGAAGACAAAAAGGGCGCCGAAAACCAACAGAGCGCCGAAAACCAAAGAGCCATCGAACACCGAAAGGGTGCGAAAACCAGAAACGCGCCGAAAACCGAAAAAACGCAGAACACCTGAAAGGACAACGAAAACCGAAGGCGCGCCGAAAACCGGGCACCGAAAACCTAAGGAACGCCGAAAGCCAAAGGGGCGCCGAAAACCAAAAGGTCGCCGAAGACCACGAAGGCGCCCAAAACCAAATAGCACCGAAAACCAAAAGAGCGCCGAACAGCAAAGGGGCGGCGAAAACCAAAAGGCGGCGAAAACAAAAAGAACGCCCAAAATCAAAGAGGCGCCGAAAATCCCGAAAGGTTCCGAAAACCAGCGGAGCGCCGAAAATCAAAGATGCGACGAAAACCAAAATAGCCTCGAAAACCACAGCAGCGCCGAAAACCAAAACCCCAAAGGGCGCCGAAAACCAAAGAGTCGCCGAACATGAAAAGGACGCCAAAAACAAAAAAATGGCGCCGAAAACCATGATAGCTCCAAAGGGTCGCCAAACATCATGAGGGCACCGAAAACCAAAACGATGCCGAAAACCAACAGAACGCCGAACACCAAGAGGGGCGCCGAAAACCAAAGATGCGCCGGAAATGAAAAGGGCGTCGAAAACCAACGGGGCGCCGAAGACCATAGAGGCGCCGATCAACCAACAGGGCGCCAACCGAACGCCCAAGAGGCGCCAAAAACCAAACGGGGCGCCGAAGACCGAAGGCCGCCGAAAACCAAAGCAGCGCCGAAGAATAAAAAGGGCGCCGCAAAAAAGGAAGAAAAGAAAACAAAAAAAAAGGGCGTCGACGATCGACGCAAGGACACCCACATGCAAAGAGGCGCCAGAGACAACGAGGGCGCCGAAAAGCAGAAGGGCACAAACGCCGAAGGAACGCCGAAAACCGGAAGTAGCGCCGAAAACCAAAGCGCCGCCGAAAACCAAAGCAGCGCCGAAAACGGGCGCCAAAAAACCGACGGGGCGCCGATAATCGAAAAGGGGGCAGAAACAGCAGGAAATCCGAAGACGGACAGGGCGCCGAAAAAGCAAAAAGCGCCGAAAACCAAAGATGCGCCGAAAGCCGCAAGGGCGCTGAAAACGACGACGCGGCAAACCCGCGAACTTCAGCCGAACAACTGCCCCAAAACAATCTAAGCGAAAAATCAATTTTTGGGCCGCGAATGAAACCGCAAACTTGCGCTGAACAACTGCCTGAACACATGGATCAAGTCTCTTAACTTTCCGCCGCGCACGAGCCCGCGAAGCTGCGCCGAACCTCCAGACAAAACAGAGAACCCTCAACTTGCAATGATAGATCTGGAGCCTTAAACAAACAAGCGGACGGCAACAAGTGCGCGCGCTGCAACCGATTCGCGCAAACATTCAAGGATCGTTAGACACTAAACGTCGCTGGATACTAAGACCGCTCGCTCACGCGCTGCCGCCGCCACCTCCTCTTCGCGATGCTAGACAGCGACGCAAAACAAATAATCAACAAAAAACTGGAACGAAAAATGCGCCAACAAATAATTTCATCGAACATATTGTTGCTCGATGATTTGTTGCTCTGCCACTGTTAAACTTCAAACTAATCAAGATCCACCCCTGCAAAGCGCACTGCACTCACCGCAAATGCACGTTTAAAGATGACGGATACCTTCGCGGATGGCCTCGGAAATCGCGTCTCTGAATTGAATCGCCCGCCGACGCGGGGGGCGATGCCCGCGCGTTGCGATCGGCGGGATAACGGCGCGAATCCGATAGAAGGCCCCCCGGGGCTACACCGGGGCGCGCGGGCGAGATGAGAGGGCAAGACGCTGCTAAGATATTCCAGCACATCTTTAGAATTAACATGCAACTAGTTATTGGGTACCATCGCTGTGCTGCAATGCGCTGCAGAAGTGGCGCATATGCAACTTGAAACTTGCACGGTTAATCGCGCAACCGGAGGGGTGCGCACTTGAGAACAACAGAACGCAAACTTTGTATAGCGACAGTGCGCCACATTTAGAACATGAGCGCACACTTCAGAAGAACGACGTGCAATTTGAAATTGTACAATTTACGAAAAGAACGCGCACTTGAAGACAATCGCGTGCACTACGAAACGATGCACAACCTTAGGTTAAAACACGGTGCACACTTGAAACGCAATGTAGAACAACAGCACGCAAACTGTATAACTCACATGCGCAGTTTACACCGCCAACTCAAACTTTCAAACGACAGAGCAGCACACTCGACATCAACGCATTTTTCAAACAAGAAAAAATGAACAATGCTACGCACGCGCAGACAGTTCGCGACAATAGTTTAAAGCAGAATGTCTGTTTTAGGACATGTACCTTTTAATGTTAAGAACACCGCTCGTTGAAGGACACCATGCGCACTGTAAAATAGGAACGAGAGGAGCCATGGGGATGGAAGATGGATCATGGAAGGACGCGGCCGTTCTCCGTTGCTAAGATCCCAATTGAGGCGCGCGCAGCGGCGCGCGCCCGGCGCATGGGCCCGTCGGATATAGCGCTCGCTATACAGCCTCTCCGTAAACCTCGTTTTAAGTCCGGGGGGGGGGGGGGGGGGGCGCTAGATCCAAGTCCGAGTTAATCATAAAGTAAAGAAGATATATTGACACATTGTTTTTCTACGCCCCCAGCAGCGCGCGGGCAAGCGCCCGCCGCGGATAATCGTGGATGGCCACGGGCAAGACCGCGCGGCCATCCGCAGACGAGCGAAAGGGGTGGCTGGCAAATGCCAGCCGTCAAAGCGTGCAGCGAGCGAAGTGATATGACCGAGCGGTCAGATCCCCTCTTTGAGTAAGACTGCAATGCCTGTGTCCGGGCACTCATGGTAACTGTGGCGCCATGGGCATGTGTGCCCGTGGCCGGGCGAGGATGACTGCATTCCAAGCGTTCGTGCCCGCGTCCTGGCAGGGATGACTACATGTCAGAGTCTGCGTAGTCGTCCTCATTGGCGCCCGCTGGCCCTGAATAGGGCGCGCCCGCCCCGCGTTGGCGCTGCGTCGTTCTTGCCTCGATCGGGCGCGTGCTTCTTCTTCGCTTGGCACTTGAAAGGTAGGCCTCCTCCGATCATTTTCCGTCATTTGCAACAGTAGCGCACGGTCGACGCACCCTTTGGCATCGCCTTTCGCGGTCATGTATCGCGCGTTATGAACTTCACCTTGGTCCAGCATCTGTAATCCAGCTGATATCCTAGCAGGACACATCCGGTCGGCTTTTTTCAGCTCCTTACTTGACATGGATTTGAAGACCGACTCAGCCACCTAACTCCCGAATGTCCTTAAGTCGGGCAGGTTTTAGGAGTCCAGACCTAAGCTCCTGTAGCGCGACTATGGCAAGGTGACAGTCCTCATGATCACGGGCGGATGCCAGCGTTTCAGCTGAGTTGCTGGAGCGCATTTGCAAGCGATGTGACATGCAGCATGCATCAATCAGATGCACTACTGCCCTGCCATGGGGCGGCGTCCACGCAGGAAAAGGTTGGCCCCGCTCGGACGCCATATCCCTCTACTTCGTCATCTTCGCCCCCATTAAGGCGACGGTGTCCTGAGTCGCCATGAGGGCCCACTTCTCCTCTCGGAAGCAGATGTGAATATATTACGTGTTTCAGACCTTGCTGCAATTTGCGCGCGGCAGCGCTAAATCTTCACACTTGGAGGTCCGCGGGCCCCTGCGCGCGCAGCGATGGCGCCACGTGCGCCATTTGCCGCGCCTGATTGATCAGCGCATGCGCCGAGGCGCCGCGTAAATTGACGAACATGTCGGACACTGTCTCCGTTGCCTTTTCTTCCACCACGGCGCCCGTCAGTCCTGGGCGATGTGTCGGACGAAGCTGTTTGATGCATTCGCCCTGATCTGGCTGGACGCGGCCACCCTCGGTCTCAGTGCATCGCGCGGCGCAATTGTTGGTGCAGCGGCGCCTGTTCCATTTGCATGCGCCGAACGTGCCCTCTCAGCATTTGGCGCACTTGCCAATGGCTTCCTCCGCTCCTGCCATGCGTCGTCAACGTGCTTGGCTGTCCGGAGGTTCGGGCGCGTCTCAAATTCTTCATCGTGCGATGTGGGCTTCAGCCCCGAGCCTCGCGCGATGGTTCTGAGCTTCAGTGGGAATGAGAATGCCCTAGGGGCGCCCCTGGTACCTGCGCCTGGCCCACGGCGCTGAAGACAGCGTTTTTACTCGTCATGGGACGGGGGAACGGGCAGCGCGCGCAGCACCGAGGCTAAACCAGGTGGAAGAGCGAAGCATGCCACGCGCTCTTTCCCATCGCCCCCCCCCCCCTCCCCCCCCCGCGGGCAAGCCCGCGACGAAGGCCGACGCTGTTCGCATTGAAAAAATGCCCGAGCCGATCTCGCGGACAATGAATACTTCAACGTCTAACGTGCGTCGCAAATCTGGGCGTCGCGCCAAGACTCCCCGACGTCCGACCCGCGCGACTTCTTGGCGCGGTCAGGGCAGTTACGGGCGATGGGGCATGGCCCGTTCCATCCGCCCCAATCGTCC